TAATATATATGTTCTAAATTTTAAAGCGTCAACGGCAACGCTTTTGAAAACAGTAGTAGTGTATTTTTGTATAAAAACCCAGCTATAACTTTGTAAAGACTTGTACTTATACAACAACTTACTTTTCAATGACTATTACATACTGTCTGCATTACTTTTAAGTACAAAACACATTTTAATTCCCTATTTGTAATGACTTATTTGAGTACTTGTATGAAAGCTAGCGTGGTAAGTACTTGCCTCTAATGCCACCGTGTTAAAACAATGAGTTAAAAAGCCAATAAATAAGTGGCCTTTTAACATATTACTTTTACTAAAATTAGCAAAATTTTCCAAAATTGACAATTTATAAGGCTGGTATTTTTTTCTTGTTGACCAAAAATAAACTTAAAATCGTCAAATGCGTTGCCGCATTAATCGCCCCCACTGCAAATCAAAATTTCACATAAAATATGCACCAAAAAATGTGAATTCGATTTTCAAGCATTAATTACACGGATTCGGTTTATAAAAGCGGTTTCATTTCAAATAAATATCGTTTCGCTTATTCTTAGAAAAGTAAAATGAGCAAAATACTATTCAACGAATAACAAAATTTAAATATATATTTAAAACATAAACTATTCGATATGATGACACTCCCTCTAAAATAATATTTTATGAAATATGTCCCTATACATATATGTATATGTATCTTGCATAAATATGAGTTATGTTAAACCATAAATAGTTAAATATTATGACTAACCAATATTCAGTTTTCTTTAACTAATTGTTAAAATATTGTTAAAACCAGCATTTATGTAATATACAGTTAAAAATATTCAAAAAATGTACCTTAAAAATAATTTACCGCCAACAATGACACCCAATATTTAAACAACAATGACAAGTACTATATCATACAAACATACATATATTGTAAATATATACATAGATGTGTATAAGGGCGCAAATATCACTTTTTCAAAAATGCGTTTTTTTTTTGCAATTCGATTTTGTATTCTAGGACAGCAATATCTATAACATACATATTAGTAGATTGTTTCGTTAAAATTTCCCAAATGGCTTATATGCCCTTATTCACCACCATGCTTGTAGATCATAAATTACTAACAATGTTAGTTGCCTACAAAGCCGTTTATTATTTTAACTATAATTAAAAGTAAATAAATAAAAAAATACAACCAAATTAAATGGAACCTTAAAAGTTTAAATATTAGAAAAAAAGAAACAAAACAAATAACAAATATTAATGTTGTTTTTGTTTTAAGAATTTTTATCTTTGTTTTGCTACTTATTAAAAAAACACCAAAATAAACCTAAATAGTTATACAAATATGTATAACTTAACTTTATCTAATTAGTTAAAATTATCTAATACTTATTTACTATAGTACTGGCTCATCTTCCGCGTTTACTGCTAAAACGTTTTTATTGATTGAAAAAAAGCAATGCAAATAAATAATTTGATTAAAAATAAATGTACCTTGAAATTTAATAAATTAAATTAATAGCCACTACAATTAAATAAAGATTATAATAAAATAGAAAAAAAGACGTTGAAAATCAAAGTCATTAGTTTCATGTTTATTTTACAAAATATTATTTTTTATTCTATTGATCTTTAAAAAAGTTCATTAAACGACCTTGACATGATTCTTTCAAAATGATCGAGAGGTTAATATTTTAAAACTCTTATGATTAACTCATATTTACAAGATTAAAGCACGTGATTTTTAATGTTTGCTGTTTATTTTATTATTGTTTAATATTTTACAGTTATAGCAAAAAATATTAATACATTAACTGCAGTTTATATTTGCCTTGAATATTTTTACTCAATAGCGAAGTGCCGTTAGCAAACTGTATTTTAAAAAATTATTTTTAATTAAAGGTTTTTATTGTTTTTTTTTTTACAAATTTTCACAATATGTATTATAAAAGATCTTGCTTAATGGCTTTTGATGTTAATCGTAACTATTAAATGAACAATTATTATTAAAAAGCAAAAATATATACAAAAAGATTGACAGTTTTGAAATTGAATGAGTTAAGAATTTATGCTTTTAAATTTTATTGTTTTATTTAACATGATTTGTCAAAACAAAAGAAGATGTGACAAAGAATTTTTCTTTTATTGATTAAAAGGCGTATTATAGATTTTCATTGTAAGACTATAGACGGAACTGTACTAACTAAAGACTATAGACTAAACTATAGACTAGACTTTAGACTAGAATTTAGACTACACTATAGACTAGACCTTAGACTAGACTATAGACTAGACTATAGACTAGACTATAGACTAGACTATAGACTAGACTATAGACTAGACTATAGACTAGACTATAGACTAGACTATAGACTAGACTATAGACTAGACTATAGACTAGACTATAGACTAGACTATAGACTAGACTATAGACTAGACTATAGACTAGACTATAGACTAGACTATAGACTAGACTATAGACTAAACTATAGACTAGACTATAGACTGGACTATAGACTAGACTATAGACTAGACTATAGACTAGACTATAGACTTGACTATAGACTAGACTATAGACTAGACTATAGACTAGACTATAGACTTGACTATAGACTAGACTATAGACTAGACTATAGACTAGACTATAGACTAGACTATAGACTAGACTATAGACTTGACTATAGACTAGACTATAGACTAGACTATAGACTAGACTATAGACTAGACTATAGACTAGACTATAGACTAGACTATAGACTAGACTATAGACTAGACTATAGACTAGACTATAGACTAGACTATAGACTAGACTATAGACTAGACTATAGACTAGACTATAGACTAGACTATAGACTAGACTATAGACTAGACTATAGACTAGACTATAGACTAGACTATAGACTAGACTATAGACTAGACTATAGACTAGACTATAGACTAGACTATAGACTAGACTATAGACTAGACTATAGACTAGACTATAGACTAGACTATAGACTAGACTATAGACTAGACTATAGACTAGACTATAGACTAGACTATAGACTAGACTATAGACTAGACTATAGACTAGACTATAGACTAGACTATAGACTAGACTATAGACTAGACTATAGACTAGACTATAGACTAGACTATAGACTAGACTATAGACTAGACTATAGACTAGACTATAGACTAGACTATAGACTAGACTATAGACTAGACTATAGACTAGACTATAGACTAGACTATAGACTAGACTATAGACTAGACTATAGACTATAGACTAGACTATAGACTAGACTATAGACTAGAATAGATTATAGATAGACTATAGACTAGATATAGACTAGACTATAGAATAGGAAACTATAGGGAGACTATAGACTAGCTATAGACTAGACTATAGACTAGACTATAGACAGACTACTAGGACTAGACTATAGACTAGACTATAGACTAGACGATAGACTAGACTATAGACTAGACTATAGACTAGACTATAGACTGACTATAGACTAGACTATAGACTAGATCTATAGACTAGACTATAGACTAGACTATAGACTAGGACTATAGACTAGACTAGAGACTAGGACTATAGACCTAGACTATAGACTAGGACTATAGACTAGACTATAGACTAGACTATAGACTAGACTATAGATCTAGGACTATAGACTAGACTATAGACTAGACTATAGACTAGACATACTAGACTATAGACTACCTACCGACTAGACTATAGACTAGACTATAGACTAGACTATAGACTAGACTATAGACTAGACTATAGACTAGACTATAGACTAGACTATAGACTAGACTATAGACTAGACTATAGACTAGACTATAGACTAGACTATAGACTAGACTACAGACTAGACTATAGACTAGACTATAGACTAGACTATAGACTAGACTATAGACTAGACTATAGACTAGACTATAGACTAGACTATAGACTAGACTATAGACTAGACTATAGACTAGACTATAGACTAGACGATAGACTATAGACTAGACTATAGACTAGACTATAGACTAGACTATAGTCTAGACTATAGACTAGACTATAGACTAGACTATAGACTAGACTATAGTCTAGTCTATAGAATAGACTATGGACTAGACTATAGACTAGACTATAGACTAGACTATAGACTAGACTATAGACTAGACTATAGACTAGACTATAGACTAGACTATAGACTAGACTATAGACTAGACTATAGACTAGACTATAGACTAGACTATAGACTAGACTATAGACTAGACTATAGACTAGACTATAGACTAGACTATAGACTAGACTATAGACTAGACTATAGACTAGACTATAGACTAGACTATAGACTAGACTATAGACTAGACTATAGACTAGACTATAGACTAGACTATAGACTAGACTATAGACTAGACTATAGACTAAACTATAGTCTAGAATATAGACTAGACTATATACTAGACTATATACTAGATGTGGCAAAGAATTTTTCTTTTATTGATTAAAAGGCGTATAATAGATTTTCATTGTAAGTCTATAGACGGAACTGTACTAACTAAAGACTATAGACTAGACTATAGACTAGACTATAGACTATTTACTAGAATATAAATATACAAGACTAGATAATAGTTTCTGGACTATAGTCTAGACTACAGCTTTTAGACTATAGTCTTGACTGCAGACGAGAATGTAATGCCTATTGGACTATAGTCTCTGGAGATAACAATAGACTATAATCTCTAGTCTGGTCTATTGACTAAACAATAGTCAACAATTTATAGTTGTTCGTCACCATTTATAACAATTAATAATTTCCTTAAGAAAAATTAACTAAAAAATCACAAGCTGAATTAACAATTACCACTATTCATTACAAAACAACTAATTCATTTTAAAAATCTTTAATGAAACCATAACCGCACTTCATCTTAGATTTACCTCACGTGTAAATAAATTCTATGAATAAAACATAACAAAAAGTAATATTTTAAATCTTAATACAATTGTACTCACCTTTAAAGTATTTGAGAATTTGCCCGCTCTAGCAATTGCTGTACCAAATGTTGATGGTGCTATAGCAATTGATGTGGATTCTGGTACTCCAATTATGCAGACAAGTACGAAGGTTAACAATGTCAATATTGTGCCACAAGGTTTACAAAACAACATTTTAGTTTTTTTCTTTTATAATATTCTCATATAAACTATTTATTTTTTGTGTGTAGGCCAAGTATAAAACACTTAATTTTTCCAAGTACTTCTTTAGCATTCAAATTAATTTCTTATAATTCTTCTTGCTATATTTACTTTTTAATATTATTACGGGGTTTTAAACTTTTATTAAGTACGAGTAGGCCAATTTACACTTAGTGGCATGTAAATATAAATATGTTGTTTTGATGCTTAATTTTTGAAGTAAACACGATTACGGTATTTTTTTTACTGCAGATATAAGACAAATATTTTAACTTAAACAAATTACATTAAATCCACAAGCAATTTGTTTTATATTGTGTATTTTATTTATTTATTTCAACGCGGCACTTCTTATTTTGTTTCATGGGTTTTGTTTAAATTTATTCTTTCTACAAAGCATTTTCCAAATTTGCACAGTTATTTTTTGGTTTGTGTTATTTATTTTAACTTAAACAATAACTTTGCTCGGTCATGGTCTTTTTCCAACTGAATGTCAACTAGTTTAAGGTTTTATTTTAAGTTTAACGGATTTACTATGATTATTTTATAAGAATGAGTTTTTAATTTTGCTCATAGAGGAATTTTAAAATACAAATTAGAATTTCTTAAGTCAATGTATTTATAATGGTTTTATTTCTAATATATTATTTAAAATATACATACAAATTTAATATGAATGAAAGATATAGAAAAATAACCTGCTATAATGTGTTTTATGTTATGTTTTGCTAAACATTTTCACTTTTATAGTATATTATACTAAAATATTTTAATGTGTTGCTTGTAGACAAAAATATTAACATGTTGTTTTTATGATATCATTTTACGTTTTAGTAAATATTTTTTTTTTTTGGTAAAATAGGAAGTTTATCTTATTTTCCCCCTAATTACGTATTTTGCTAAAAATAGTTAGCAGACTAGATAAAAAATGTTTGACATTGATTAGAAATCTTATAACAAATAGAATCATCCTATATATTTGGTATAATCAGTATAAAAACAAAAGACTTAAGACATAAACTTGTTAATGGAATACATTTTATTTCCTGTTATAAAAACACATATCACCTAAGGTTGTTGACTTAAATAGAAATTAATTAACAAACAACATGACATAATTTCGTCAAATGTTGAGAGTTTTATATTCGGCTATGCCGAACTTATATAATGAACATAACAAATATGGACTTAGATTATTATGGATTGATACTTTCCTCAAATATTTAAATATTTCTAAAAAGGGGTAAAATTTTTAATAAATTAAAATAAAATTAGGACAAAATCTCAAAAGACATGATCGATATTATTTTATGGAAAACAAATTCCTTTTGCGAGTGTGCAAGTTGGGCTCAAATCTATGGACAAGTTCTGTTGGTAAAAACAGAAATCTTATATAGTATTCATTGATTGAATTATTCCTAAGAATTTTCCAACCAGTGTTCGTGAGGGATGTCACTTCGGAATAATATCACTGCAAAGATATTTGTATCTAATTTTGACGAAAGCCTAACAATGACAAAAAATGCTCCACAGTTTCACTGTTCTTCACTTCTCTACATGCTCTAGATTAGTCTGAATCACCATATCCAACTTTGTACAGCAGTGCCAGTAATTCTGTGTGTCCACTCAGAATACGAACCATCATACTAACCTCATTTTCAGGAGGCTTTTCGTCCTGCTCTGTGTGGTTCTACCCATCGCTTCAACATTCCAAGAAGCCTTATGGTATTCTCACACCCCTATTTTTTACTTCTGTCCTGGTTGCGTCTAATGGTTTTGAGTTCGTCAGGTTAACTATCTTGAGATCTCTTCCTTTTAAAGCTAATACATTCGCTCAATCCGACTGATCCCGAGTGGCCTGGTACCTATATAATGTAAACCTTACCTCTGGGAGAGTATCTTAGATTTAACTTTATCACCTGATATCTCTCTAATTGTCTTCTGGCTGGTAAATATATTAACCCCTTGTTGGCGCCATATTTGTTATAATCCAATTTGCGCATTCCGTTATTGCACGGACCTCTACCTAATAAACTAGTACTGTTATTAGGAAAACGGTAGTATATTTCTGTTGCTGGAACCCCAGGCCCGCTTTGTCACCCAATTTAAAGCCATCCGTGTAGCAGCGGATTTCTACGGGTATTTTTTCACGGATCCGTGTTTCAGTGGCTGTCGGTAAATATGTTAACCTCTTGTTGGCGCCATATTTATTACAATCCACTTTACGCATTCCGTTATTACACGGTCCTCTGCCTGAAAACTAGTATTGTTATTAGGAAAACAGTAGTATATTTCTGTTTTTGGAACCCCAGGCCTGTTTTGTTCCCCTATTTAAAGCCATCCGAGTAGCAAAGGATTCCTGCGGGTATTTGGTCTCGGATCAGTGTTTCAAATTTCTCGACATTCGACATTTTGTGTCTAGTATGTAATCGAGCACGTCCGATGAATGTGTATGTGAACGTGTCCGATAACCGTCTTTGGTCAGTTCCCTCTTTTAACAAGCTTCAATACAAATTTAGTTCAGGAAATTTTTGAACTGCTAACATAAAAAAATCTATCAATATACCCCCATCTTTTTAATATTGGGTAAAAAAACTGCTCTGCTAAATATAGAAAGTATTAAAGCTATTGTCAAAATAATATTTTAAATAAAATTTTTCGAAAATGTTATTTTATCACCCACAAATGTTTTCAATTTTTGCAAACATAATACTATCTCATTAACTCTTTATAAATTCAAATTTTTCCTAAACCGTTAATTGCTTATTTTTTTTTTTGCATTAATTTGCTTTTCGTTAACAGTTATATTATACCGGCCGCCTCCTCAAAATGTTAATTTTAACATAAATACATAATCGTTATATTGTCTAACAAAACAATAACAAAAAACAAAACTCTAAAATAAATACAAAACTTTAGCATGCATATTAAAAAAGATACTAATAAATTAAGTATATTTAACAAAACACTCTGTATTTTTCAATCATAATTAATATTTATGCATATTTAACTACAAATTTTGGCGTTTTGTTACCAACACACTAGACCAATAACCTACTTCGTCTACTACCGGTAGTAGACTGACTTTTAAATGCGTTTAAATAATTTTGTTTTACAACAACAATTATAGCACTCAGCCTCTCTAAACAGATGATGGTAATAATAATTCGAAAATCATAAAAAATCAAGTGGTCAGACTGGATTTATTTTTTTTGCTTTTATTTTTGTTCAATACAACTGCGTTTCTCATAATAACAATGCCAGGAGAAAAAAACACTTGCACTTTTTAATGAAAGTAAATGTATTGTTTGTTGTAATTGTTGCTGTTGTTGTCTCACATAATAGGGTGTTATATTGTGTTGAACTTTTTTTCTGGTTGTATTTGATAATGACGTAGTTGTGACGTTTTGTTATTAAATAGTACCGGTTTTAAAAGAAATTTTACAACTACTGTTAAATTACATTACTGTATGTTAATCCTTTCTTTAAACACTGGACAACAGAGACATTTCACAGACCGACAAAATTTGACACAATTCATGACTCAGGAACTAATGTATACTTTTCTAAAGAATTAAGATTTTTTCTTTATTTCGGTGTATGGATTAAAAAGTTGTTGCAATTCGTTATTACAAAATACTCTTGTATTCCCGGCCACTGACGCACAGTGGTATAGGAAAAAAAAAAGAGGGAAATAATTCGGTAACTTCTAAACGGTTAATCCTATTTTAATGAAATTTGGTATGCACAAAGAGGAGGTGTTGTCGAGTTTAGGTTTTGAATTTGGATCTTATAGGCCAACCAGGGGCCCGGCGGGGGGTCCTCAAATTAGGACACCTCGGCTATGTTAAATTTTTAAAACGATCCTATTTCTTCATTTGAGTTCCGATTTAAAAAAAATTTCGTATATAGAATCTCCTCATTGAGCACTACATACGTCGTAGCAGTAAATTATCTCTTATAGTTTAGGAGATATTCGCATTTGAAAATTATTTTTTTTTTATTCGCTTAATTAGGGAAAACACAACATCTTTTAGAAGTTGACCCAGCACTATTATTTTCATCCATAAGGTTAACTCTTAAATTTGTTACATATGTATATGGATGAAAATAATAGTGCTAGGTAAATTTTCTAAAAGATGTTGAGTTTTCCCTAATTAATTTGTCACTTAAAAAACATTAGGTAGGCATGTTATATATCAATGGAAAGGTAATTTTGTCTATTTTTCAAAACTTTATATAATTTTTGAAAATTAAAAAATTCGCGGAATACTTTAAAAAAAAAAAATAAAAAATGTTTTTTATTCAGTTTTTGTGAAGATACAAATTTTTCAAATTGCAATAAAAATTTTATTTATGAATATTTTTTGATGAAATTTTACAGTTAGGTAGATTTACTCAAAATTCAAAATTAAATAAAAATTTTGAATTTTCTTATTAGAAATCCCGGAATTCCCAAAAAAGTTTTAAAAAATCCCAAAAATGGGATTTTTTGGTTTTTTGCCTATTATATCCATACCAGGGGCGGGGTTATCGAAACCCGTTACAAAATGATTAAGAACATATTGGGTCATATAAAACAGGTCACTATAATTTGATATCGACTATGCGATTTGAGAATTTTTGCTCAAAATTAAATTTTCCATAAAAAATAGGGTTTTTTTTGGATGGACCTGGTCCCCTCGGTATCAAAAATGTTTAAGCTTTGTTTCATTTATCGTATTTTATGTAAAGTCAGCTCCCCAAAAAGTATACATTTTATATACATCTTCTTAGAAACTTTTTAGATAACTTAAAAAGAAAAAGATACTTTTTTCCCAAAAAAATGACAAAAAATCGCCTTTTTTTTATTTTTTTAAATTAAAATGCCTATAAATTTGGACTCAGTCATGATTTTTACATAATTCTTTCACTGCTTGATATATAAACTTGTTGTTAAGCGAATAAAAAAAAATTGCGAAAAATCGGGAATATTTGGACCCGCTATTATCAAAAAACTAAAGTAAGGACGGTAAAAATTTTTAAATTTTAATTTTCAAATGCGAATATCTCCTAAACTATAAGAGATAATTACTGCTAATCGGAACTCAAATGAAGAAATAGGATCGTTTTAAAAATTTAACATAGCCGAGGTGTCCTAATTTGAGGACCCCCCGCCGGGCCCCTGGTTGGCCTATAAGGTCCAAATTCAAAATCTAAACTCGACAACACCTCCTCTTTGTGCATACCAAATTTCATCAAAATCGGATTAACCGTTTAGAAGTTACCGAATTATTTCCCTCTTTTTTTTTTCTATACCACTGTGTGACGGAAATTTTGTTTTCACATGTTTTAGGTCTGACTGACTTGCTTAATTTTCAATACTAAACATTTCTGGTAACGAGTTATAGCAGATTCCGTGGTCAAGTAAAACTTATCGTATTATCTGTTTAAGATCATGTAAATTTCGATATTGAGGCATTTTTTTAATACACGTGTGTTTTCATCAACTGGACGATATTATGTCATATTATTTGTTCATATTTATTCAATA